TAGGTGTAAATTGAACTGTAGCAACGTTGACCACTACCCTTTCCTCTGTATCCTCCGCTAACTTGTCATTGGCTATAAAACTTGGGTGAGCCACATACCTACTTTGGGGCCAAAGACAAGTTCAATCGACATTTCGTTTTATTTTTTGTAGTTGTAGATGGACAACCTGCCTTTATTTTTATTTATTTATTTTTATGTGGTGCTAAGGATCAAACCCAGTGCCTCACACATGCTAGGCAAGCGCTCTACCATTGAGCCCCAGCCCCATCCCCTCAATAGACATTTTTAAAGCATCTCTGCAATACCAGGTTTGTTGTTTGATGCTGGGGTACAATTGTGATCATGATGAAGCTTCTGCCTGTCAGGACCCTAAGTCTCGTGGGATGACCCCTCCCCTGTTTTGTCCTGAAGTTGCCCAACCAGTCCCTGGCCTGTACTGGTCACACCTCATTCATTCATTCAATAAGTATTTGTGAAATATCTATTAAATTCCAGGTGCAGTGCTCTCTTACCATGGTGAGGAAGAGACAGGCCCTGCCCTCAGGAAGCTACCAGATACCACCTTGACTTAATTCTGTCTGCTAGTGATCACCAGACAACACCACTCCATCCTCTGTGCTCCCTCAACACTTAGTTCCTGCCTCTCACTAGCATCTGCATTCCTGTCATTATAATGTCTTTTTTGTCTACTTTAAAACCATCAGTACCTTCAAGGAAAGAAGTTCAACTTTCTTTCCCTAGTGTCGTGCCCTCCCTAATGTCTAGCATATTGAGAGCTCAGGAAATGTTTTTTGAGTAGATCAATAACTGCATGAATTTATAAACTCAGGACCCATGGAACCCATAGAACAATCTGCCCTGTCTTCAATTCTGTGTGTCTTGGATGACAAACTTAATGAGCAATCACCTATCAGTACTGGAACACTCCTCGAGATGGCAAGGACCTTCTAAACATAAAACCAGACAGTCCACAGGCCATTTCTTCTTCCTTGATGCATTTGTCATTGAGAGGAAGAACAAATATTGGCATCAACCTAGTATTTAATACATTCTTGCAGGAAGACAAACACGATATAATGATTTAAATGGAATAAAATTACAATAAAGAGAAAAAATAAGTTTACTTGTAACTCAGATAGATACTGTTAGAGATGACTTCAGTAAGAAAAAAATATATCACAACAGTGGATTTAAAAAAAGAAAAAAGAAGTATTTTTCTCTATCATGTAAAAGTTCAGGAGCAATCCAATAATGGGGTTCTGCTCCAGGAGATCCTCTGCTTGTGACACCATCATCCCCTAGAATGGGGCTCATGGCTCCAGATGGGCTTGTTGTCAAATCCACCTCCATGCAGCAGAATGAGGGAAGGGGACTGAAATGACAATGCACACCAACTCTCTTCAGCTAGATTCCCAGAAACTGTCACTGGACACTTCAGCTTACATTCCATTGGCCAACGCTTAGACACATGACCACACGTAATCATAAAGGAAGTTGGGATAGCAGTCTGTATTTTGGACAGCCACTTGTCCAGCTAAAAATTCTTTTACTGTAGCATAAAAGGAAGGCAGACACAAAGAGTACGATTAGAAGTCCATATCACAGATGTGGAAACTCAAGTGTTGTTAGTGATGATTCAACAACTTTTGTATTCTAACTGCTACAAGCTGAAGACACAGCAATGAGCTTCAGTGGTTAAGCTACTGGGTCCTGCCCTGATTATTGAGGAGTGAGCTAGAGAGGAAGGAAAGCTGTTGCAACAGGGCAGGTGGGATGTGTGGCAGCCGGGACAGAGGCCCTGGCAACGGGAAAAAGCTGAGCAGAGAGCCATGGCAGAATCACAGGACGGGGAGACGGATGTTGGAGGAAAGGAAGATGTGTTCATCAGCTTTGCATCACTGTGACCAACATGCCTGGCAGGAATGATATAAAGAGGAAGAGATGATCTGGGCTCACGGGTTCCAAGGTTCAGTCCAGGGCTAGCGGGCTCTGGGCCCAAGGTGAAGTAGAACATCATGGTAGAAAGGGCATGGAGGAGGACTGCTGCTCCTCTCACCAGGAGCCCAGAAGCAGAGAACAAACAGGGTGCCCCACCCCAAAGGCCTGCCCCCAGGTCTCCCACCTACTTCTTCCTGCCACACCCTACCTGCCTCTAGCTATCACCCAGTACAGTAGCCCGTTCAAATTATTAATCCCTCAAATGAATTAGTCCTCTGATTAGGTTACAGCTTCATAATCTAATTACAAGTTTATGGCGGGCACTTCCTATCCAAACCATAACAGAAGATGAAGGATCCAGAGTGATTCTCCACATTGAAAGCAATTTAGACCCTGGTAATAGGACTATAAAGAGAGGTATGGAGACTACATTAGACTGGTGAAGTTAACTGCTACAAATTGACCTGAAATCTCTCCTTCATCTTTTACTTCTGACCATGAATTTTCTGTTGAGTAGGCTAATGAAGTTAATAAACTTCTCCAAGTAGTTAATCTTTTACAGGAAAAAAATCCAACAATTCTTAGTGAGTTACCCCAGCCAGTTATAGTGTCCCCTCTCCTGCCTAATTCAGTAGAGCAGTGAACTCTTAAGGCATTCTTAATTCAAATAATAGCATTTTTCACTTGAGTAAACTGAAGATATAGAGGATCTAGTCCCCCATCTAGAAAGTGGACTTGCCAAACTGTCATGCAGTTGAATGCACGTTGGCATGTAAAGTAGAAATAAATGCCAGTTTTTGTCTCTCTCTAAAGTACCTTCTTTTACCAGGTATGGTGGCTCACACCTATAATTCCAGCAGCTCCGGAGGCTGTGAACATCTGAAATCTGAAAGACAAGCAGATGTTATACAAGGAAAGTTTGGACCAAAGGGACCAAGGAGGGGGAACAGCATGTAGGAGGTCTGGGTATTTCAAAAGCCAAGGCAGGAGGATCACAAGTTCAAAGTCAACGTCAGTAACTTACCAACGTTCTAAGGACTCAGTGAGACCATGTCACAAAATAAAAAATAAAAACAAAAGGGCTGGGGATATTGCTCAGTGGTTAAGCACTCCTGGCTTCAATCCCTGGTATCAAAAAAACAAAAAAAAAAAAGAAAGAAAGAAAAAGAAAACAAAAGTATCTTCTTTTTCTAAACATTCATCTGACAAACATTTATTGAACATTTACTATTTCAGACACTATACTAAATGCTGGGATGGTCGTGGGGGACAAAATTGAATTTAGAGGAAGCAAAGTTATGATTTTATTTTTTACTTCTGAGTATTGATGCAAATTCTCATATTCTACACCAGCACTCTTACCCACTGGACCAGGAGCTCTTAAAGGACAGAAACATACATTTTTTTTTCACCTTTATATACCCAGACCTCAGCACATGCTCTCATTGAATGTATGTGTGAACATACGACCAAGGTCTAAGAAATGAAGCCAAAAATCTAAAAGTAGGACTGGAGTCTGAAAACTGGGATGGTCATGAGACATTACCAAGGTCAATTCCATGAAAGCGGAGTGTCTGCTGGGTCCTCCTTCCATGTGAGGCCAAGTGCCCTAGCTAGAATGGCCAGTAGAGATTCCTATGGGACAAGAGGCACCTGATGACAATGGTGAAGAGCTTGGGCTCAGAATTGGACATTTCCACATGTAACTATAATAAAGAATGATGGCTCTTCCAAGAGGGTAGCTCCAAGATCCAAGTTGTAAGAGGCTGTGTTCTTACAGGTGTGCCTTCCTAGCCTGGTGGTTCAGGGAAGGCCTCTTGAAGGAGTCCTGAAATTACTCACTGCACAACTGAGGTTAGGTCAACGCGGGCTGAGATCCAGTCTCTGCTCCAGGCCCCCATCTGTGAACCTTGATGCAAGGCCATGCCTGCCCCAGAGGAGCTCTTTTCTCCTTCACACAAAAGCCTCACAGTTTACTATGTCATGCCTCATACTTGTGAACATCTGAAATCTGAAAGATAAGCAGATGTTATACAAGGAAAGTTTGGACCAAAGGGACCAAGGAGGGGAAACGGCATGTAGGAGGTCTGGGTATTTCAAAAGCCAAGTGGCCTTGAGGAACAAAGGAAGTTCAGTAAAACTGAACATGAAGTTCAAAGGGAAAGCCAGCAAGAGAGGTTGGAAAGGGATTCGTCACAGCTACCATTTTCTGTGATGAATTAACTGGTTACACTGAGCAATTGGCTCTTCGCAATTATTTAATTGAAATTACAGAGGTTACATGACTTGTAACCTCTGTTGTGCTAGGAAGTAGTAGAACTATGAATCAAAGCCAGGTTTAACTTCAGAATCTGTGTCCAAACCACTTGTTCTACCAAATCCAGAGATTTACAAAAGTGGATTTCAAAGGATAAAACCAAAGGTGGGAAGGCCAGTTAAAAATAGTTTCAAAGGGCTGGGGATATAGTTCAGTTGATAGAGTACTTGCCTTGCATGCACAAGGCCCTGGGTTCAATCCCCAGCACTACAAAAAAAAAAAATAGTTGCAAACATTCAGGTAAGAAATGATAATAGGCTTCACATACAATCAGAAAGACGAGTGGGTGGAGATTCCAGGGAGATTTAGGAAGAAAAATCTAGTTGGTAGTTGTTTGAACATGAAGGGTGATGATGAGAAGAGAAAGGAGGCCAAGAATGGCTTCTAATTTTGTGTCTTTGTGGACGGCACATAATTCTCTATAATGGAAAACAATAAAGGAGGAACGAATCTGAGAGGGAGGTGAGTTTAGGATGAAGCACTTTGGGACATCCAAGTGAAGGTGTCCAGTAGACAGCTCAGTGCTTTGGCCCTGAACCGCAGGAAAGTCTCTACATTTAGCCAATATCAACATGAAATTGGTAATTGAGCCACAGGTGGGTGAGACAGGATGTAGCAAAGAATGCATACTAAGCTAATCATGCCATAGCAGAAAGTCTTTTCCTTTGATCCAACAGTTGAGCTTTGTGAAACATAATCTGACCCATGATTTATCTGTGTCCTTCATAATAACTTTTTTTTTAAGGCTTACAGAGTATCACATTACGAACTGGAACCAGAGACCTGCACCAAAAAGGGGTAGGGGAGCTATCATAATAACTAAAGAATAAACAGTCTTTTCTGACATTTCTGTCTGGTTCAAAGTCAGATTTAAACTTAAATATGATTTGTTCAGGACTTCCTATGAGAACATGGGTATGAATAAAATATCATTAATATTATGATCCAGGGAGCTGCTGCCAACCCCATGCATTATTTATGCAGAAGATGAATGGATTACAACCCAGCAGCAACCTCCATGGAGAGAGACCTTAGCTTATCACAGGGCTCTTTAATATGGAGCCTCTCATAACTGAACACAGTCCTACAATATGGCCCATTAAAATTTTCCATATCTTACATGAAGTGCTATGAAAATGTGACTCTACACCATGGCTTCTCAATCTGCTACCTCTAAGTCCCTCTAAATGGAAATTCTGAGCCACCTCTGACACAATCATAACAAGATGGGATTTAAGTTTAGCTGAATCCATTCTGTGTCTCTGTTCTTTTAGAAACCACCACAGACAGTCTCTACATGATGCGGCTTCTTGAAACGCAAGGACCACCCACCTTACACATCCACAAAGAAGAAGGCAGAATTGGAGATGGCGACACCAGGGCTTCCATTGTGTTATTAATGGTTCTGTAGGCATGTGTCTCCACCTCAGGGTGTAAACTGCACCAAAGGGAAGTTCTCACCAAGGGACCCAGACTACGAGCACCATTGTCTCGCCCCTGGAGAGAAGGCAGAGTCATGGTGCCACATAGCTGCTGTTTGGTCCTCTTGGCATTTGCCTGGTACTCCTCTGCCTATGGGCCCGACCAGCGAGCCCAGAAGAAAGGGGACATTATCCTCGGGGGACTCTTCCCTATTCATTTTGGAGTAGCAGCCAAAGATCAAGATTTGAAATCAAGGCCAGAGTCCGTGGAATGTATCAGGTAAGCAAGGAGACAAATCTGGGTCCCTTTCTGGGTGGTTGGAGAAGAACTGAGCTGCACCAGACTCAAAATAACTTTCTGAAACTTGAGTCTCTATTTTCTCTGGTTATCTTGCGAAAGCCTGTTGGCCTCTCCCTTTTTAATCTCTAAAGATTTTTTTTTTTGCTAAAGATAAAAATGTCAAGTATATTGAGTAGAAAAATCGATAGCCTGTTAAAGCCCAGTAATTTGGTAACTAGGTCATAAGGTTCACCTGGTGACACCACTTGATGACAGTGTCGCTTAATGGAAGACCTAAATTCCCCACTGACCTTACATGCCCCAATTGGTCAGTAAGACCTGAGTGTGGGCTGCCTCGGCTCTTTTTGTTGTTGTTATTATTTTCATAAAGGAATTCCGAGTTGAAATAAACTTTAGTACTCAGCAAGGCCCAGGCACCTTCAAAATGCATTTTGGAACAATTCCTACTAGAAAGTCTTTCTCATTAGCAGACAAACTCCACCTCCACCCCCATCCCACCCACTCTTGGCCCACACCCTACTCCTGCTACCTCCGATGGAGCAGTGCAGAATACATCCAACTCTCTGCAGACTCCCTGCCATTTGAAGACAGCAAATATGTCCCATCAAATCTTTTCTTCTCCAGATCAAACACCCTCAGTTTGTTCATTAATTCTCCTGTGACATAATTTCTAGACCCCTCATCATTCCAGTTCCCTCCATCTGATACTCCCTAATTTATCCTGACCATTCTGGAACATGTTATTCAGCAGTAAGCAACTCTTAGCAGTAGGATCTGACTCTGCAGAGTAAATGAGACTGCATGTATCGCCTCCTTAATTGGTCCATCAGGCCCCATGACCTTGCTCCAAGCTTTGACCCAGCTTCTCGGAGACAGCAGCACTTCCTCTCTGAGACTGCAACTTCTGGAAGGGATTCAGCCCTTCTCCTGATCTTCTTGATAGCTGGAAAATTAAAATGAAAACCAGCAAAACTGGATTTTTGTTCATGCTCTAATGAGAATTAGTATATTAAATAATGTTTTCACATTTTTGTTTTAAATGCAGAAAAACTCAGTGCAGAATTTCACTGATGTTGATTGTTTCCGTTACATGACCCATGTGGACAGATGGTCCATTTGCCACTAATGGACAGACCTAAGGTTAAGCAAGAAGCTTGCCCTGAAGTCATATATTTTTAAAGTACATTAATAAATGATAGCACTGTTTTTCTATAACAAAATTTTTTAATATCTCTTAATAATTTGGCAGATTTAAAACAAATTAATTGAACAAATAAATGAAGGAAACATAAAGAAAGGGACAAAGAGAAAATGTCACGTTAAAAGTCAGACCATGAACTTTGGGAGCCTGAATGCTAAAGTGGGCTACTGTGGATTAGATTTCTCCAGTCACTGAGTTGAGTCATGAAACCCACTATATAAAGGGAGAAGCTGCCATGTTTTGAGGCTTTTTCTTTGAACTTGGTGCACTGTGTCAGCACATCAATCAGCCCTAACTCTGAACCTAGTCCAGGGACAGTGAAAGCTGTGTCACCAACCCTATTTCTCTTTGTAATGGTTAATTTTTACTTAAAATAATCTTCTTTGAAAATTAGCGCACACACATTTTTTAATAGAAAATATAAATAAGTCAAAAGTGCATAATATTAAAGCTCATCGTTCACCACCCAGAAGGATCACCGTTTCTCTATAGCCTTTATATGTTAGCTGTTTGTTTACAAAAAGTGCCATCATCTCTCCTTGCCCTTTGATCTCCAAGAACAGCACAGTCTAAATTGGTGACTCTGCAAAACTGAGCTTATTTTTAGGTTCCCACATATTAATATTCTAATCTATTTATATTTTCCCTGGTCCTTCATCTTTTTAAATCCATGTGTTACTTTCTTATCTCTCTCTCTCTCTCTTTTTTTTTTTTTTGGGGGGGGGGCAGTTCTAGGGCCTCATGCATGCTAGGCAAGCACTTTCAGTGAGCTACCCACCCCAACCTAGCCCTTTATTTAATGCTATTTTGAGACAGGTTTCTTTAAGATGCTGAGGCTGGTCTCAAGCTCATAATTCTGTCTCAGCCTCCCAAGAACTAGGATTACAGGTATATGCCACCACACCCTGACCAAGTCTATGTATTTACTTTTATCAAAGTACCTCACATTAACTACTACAAATTCTTTGCTAGAGGAAGCAGATATGTATTGTTCAATGGACTACTAATACAATTTTTACCATTATTTCTCCTAACTCTGTGGGAAGTGCCATTCTGAGATTTTTACCAAATTATCTCACATCATCATCTTCACAACCACCAAGGGACGAGTGTCTTCCCCATTTTACAGAGAGGACCTTGAGTCTCAAAGAGCACAATACCAAAGCCTAACAGAGCCGTGATTCAAACCCAGCTCTGCCCAGTCCTTATGCTAACACAGGTGGACAGAAATCCTCTCATTTTCTTCCATTTCTTTCTTCCAGGTACAATTTCCGTGGGTTTCGCTGGTTACAAGCTATGATATTTGCCATAGAGGAGATCAACAGCAGCCCGGCCCTTCTTCCCAACATGACTCTGGGTTACAGGATATTCGACACTTGCAATACCGTTTCTAAGGCCTTAGAGGCCACCCTGAGTTTTGTCGCCCAGAACAAAATCGATTCTTTGAACCTCGATGAGTTTTGCAACTGCTCGGAGCACATCCCTTCGACTATTGCTGTGGTGGGAGCAACTGGCTCAGGCGTCTCCACAGCGGTGGCCAATCTGCTGGGGCTCTTCTACATTCCCCAGGTACTGACACCTTCTTAGATGGAACTAGGGGCAGAGGCAAGAGAAGAGGGCGTAGAGAGGAGATGCTCTAACAGCGTCTATACAGTTAGCTATTTTCCTACAGTTAGCTATTTTCCTACCAGAGACTAGCTTAACATTGACCAAAAAAAAAAAAAATCTGCAATCATTCAGGGTTCTGTATCATGACCATTGGGGACTTTAGAGACCCTAATGTCAACCTTCATTACTCTTCCAAAATTATTTTAAATGAACCTTGTAAGTATGCAATTTTGGGTTTGTTTGGTTTTTTTCAGTGTTCAATTATTTATTTTCAAGTCCATTTTTTTTAGTACATGACCTTTCTTCTGTTCTTTTTTACTAAAAGGAACAAGTCTATACAATGTATATCTCAACTTTCAAACCTAAAACATCTGTCCCTGGTCCTGTTCCCGCCAAGTCTCTACTTCTCTACTCTTTGGTTGAAAGTTTCATTCAGAGGGAAGCATAGCATATTTTCTCACAAAACAGAAATTTAATCATTGTTTTGCACATGTCAGATATGGAGACCATTCTAATCATTCAACAAATATTTATGGATCTTATATGAACAACTGCTATTCCCTGTGCAATTCCCTGCAGGAATTCAGCCTCGGTGGACACATGGTTGCATTTTTTAAAATAGCTTTATTTTGTTTATTTATTTATATGTGGTGCTGAGAATGGAACCCAGTGTCTCACACATGCTAGGCAAGTGCTCTACCACTGAGCCACATCCTCAGCCCCATATGGTTACATTTTTGAATACTAACAGTTCACTGAAACAAACACTTTAATAAACATTTCTTCAAAGTTACATTGTCCACCCTCAAAAAAGTAAGAGCAAACTCTAAATATCATCTTATTACCTGATTCCCCCTCTATAAAACTATAGAGCAAACCTATAAATATATAGATCTATGACATCACTTTAAAATAATGAAAAGTTGGAAACAACCTAAATGTTTGTAAGAATCACTTCAATTATGATATACCCTTCATATGAAATTTTACATCAAATTATAAATCACACTTTAAATTTATCTTTTCAATGTTTCATATTTAAAATTTGTATTTTAAATGTACCTTTGATAAATTCATATTTCTCTGCTGGAGGACTCTGCTTCTGTGGCGATAGCTATTATACCTTTATATGCATGTGACATGACAGAAAGCCTTGTCATATTTACTAAATCCTTACTTCAGGGAATTAAAGGTGTTCCCCAAGGGGAAGCCCTGGCTTTGTAACTTTTGTGCCAAAACGGTCTGACAAAGTCCACATTTGTAAATGTGTTGGGCATAAATATTCAGCATTAATACTATTGACACACTATTCAGCATTAATTTAAACACATGGTTAAATAAGTTGTCACCCAGAACAAGATGTAACTGCCGTCAAATAAAGAAAGAACTTGAAGGGAAGGGCTCTGATTCCACTTTGTTTAAATGAAAGATAAGGAGAAGTTGGATTTGAATTATAAGAGAACTGAGAAATTTGCACTTGTTATCAATCAAACCAGTATAAGGTTTTCTACCAAGGGGGTTCTCTGCCATGTCTGTGACTTGGTGTTGCTTGGCTGGGTCCACCCCTAGATGTGGTTTAATTGAGCTGAAACACAACCTGACACCTGGAGTTTCCAAAGCTCCCAGCTGATTCCAGTCTACAGTGGGACCAGGAACCTCTGCGGCAGAGTGGGGTCAGCCGCCCCGTAGTATTTCTTATGCCTGTCACGCCACCAAGTGGATGGAGCAAGCAGAACAGCTAGAAGAGATTATGGTTGCAACAGTTTTTTGAATCATTCATGAAATTCCCTCTTGGGAGAAAAGTTCTATGTGTTTTTAAGGGTTTTTTTTTCCCCTTGTGGGGGAATAGCAAAGTCAAATATTATAAATACTTTCTCAAAGAGAACACATCCTTGAGGAATATTTTGATTTTTAATTTGTATGCTTTGAATACCCTTTTGGGTCCATTTTTCCAAAAGAAAATCAAGAGGCAAGCAATAATGGATGAACTTACAAAGTGGTAAGTTTGAGATTTGCAAAACTAAATTTAGAAGCCTGTCATTTGAGTCTGCAAACAGAGCTCTCGAAAACAATGCCATCTAAATCACCTACCTCGTGAATTTCTGTGGTACCATAGGAAGGGCTTATTCTGACAAAAGAAAAAAAAATATTGATTTCACATTATAGCTTCTGAATTCAAAGCTCTTATCAGAAAAATCATACTTGCCTTTTAGGAAAGTTGGTCTGGTTCTTTCTTAGATCAACCCTTTTTATGTTTTCAAAGTCAAAACTATTCATTGATTTAAAAAAGAAACATATTGGAAACTTTTATATAAAAACATTGAACATAGAAAATAATTGTTTTAATTGATGGGAAATATTAAAAAGGCTTTCTCAACTTATTTTCTTAAATAGGAAGTTTTAAAACTCTCTATAAAATCAGAGAACAAGAGATATCAACACTATCTTGTCTCCTAGAAGAAATTTCATTAAGGATAAAAATGTTTCATTGTTCAGAAGAAATGGGCCAATGATGTGGAACTCCCTAACTGCCTGTCAAAGAGGTGGCCCTTCTCAAACTTTGAGGTGGCTAGGAGAAGCCGTGGGGTCAGAGCATCTCCAGCAGGGTCAATCAGTCTCTTCTATTTACCTCACCTTCTATGCTATGATATGGGGGTGGGGGGAAGCTGGGGAGCCCTGTGCTGGCTAACAGTATTCGGACACTTCGTGACCTCTTCACATCAAAGGCAAGACTTTCTGAACTCCTTGGTGGTGTATGCCCATGTTCAGATGCAGAACTGCTTCTATCTTAGAGAGTGGGGAGCTCCTCCAGGGTCCTTTTCAGCCTCTATCGGTTGTGGAGACTCACATCAGAAGCCTGCCAGTGGGCTTCCCCATCACCTGCAACGGAGTGAACAAAAGGGCTCTGGAAGCCAATGGGACCAGTGATAACCAGGAGAGGGAAAGAGTCTCTCCTGATGCCACTTAAGGGTGCTCATCATTGTTACTGTGATACATGGGGACTGAGCTTAATTAGCCTAATTAATCAAACCCAAAAAACAAATAGTTTTTAGAAATTATTGCAGTTGTGGCTACTTTTATCTAAAATACTTGGGGCAGGGGGTAAGAGGAGGGAGGAGGGGAAATAGCTGGAGGATAGGAAGAGGAAAACTGGACAGAATAGAAAAAAGGAACCACCTAGAGCTACTCAAAAGAGCCTTCACTTGTAACCCATAGGAAACCTGATTCTTCCAGAGGTGGGTTGTGGACAAAGTAGTCCTCACAGTGGGAGGAAGCTATAGTGTTCAGATCAGAAGATGTGGGTACACGGGTATGTTATAACCAGGGAGGAACACAGAGAGGAGGTTAGAAGAAATATGAAATAGTGCAGAGAGACTCTCTTTGAAAATATTAGCACAGGCTGGCTGTGGTAGCATACTCCTATTATCCCAGCAACTCTGGAGTCTGAGGCTGGAGAGTTGCAAGTTAGAGGCCAGTCTTAGCAACTTCATCAAGACCCTGTCTCAAAACAAAATTAATGAATAAAAATGACTGGGGATGGTAAAGTGGTAGTAAATCACCCCTGGGTTCAATCCCCACTACCCATCCCCCTGAAAAAAAAAAGAAAAGTGCATCCTTATTATTGTTGGATTGATTCTATGACTGGACCTATTTTTGCAGGTAGCACTGTTAAGAATCACCCACTAGGAATCAGGAAGCTCCTGGATGGACTCACAGGTGCTTGGGTGATCACACTGGAGTGGAACGGATTCTGGTTTTTCTCACCCTTTTATCCTGTCCACAGTGAATAGCAAGATTAAGGTGTACTCAAAAAACCACCCCCGAGTCAGCCTTGAGTCTCAGCTAGCACCTCAACCCACTCCCTCATTCATTCTGAGTTCTTGGTTCTTTTCCAGGTCAGCTACGCCTCCTCCAGCAGACTCCTCAGCAACAAGAATCAGTTCAAGTCCTTCCTCCGGACCATCCCCAATGATGAACACCAGGCCACCGCTATGGCAGACATAATCGAGTATTTCCGCTGGAACTGGGTGGGCACGATTGCAGCTGATGATGACTATGGCCGGCCAGGGATCGAGAAGTTCCGAGAAGAAGCTGAGGAGAGGGACATCTGCATCGACTTCAGCGAGCTCATCTCCCAGTACTCTGATGAGGAAGAGATCCAGCAGGTGGTGGAGGTGATCCAGAATTCCACAGCCAAGGTCATTGTCGTCTTCTCCAGCGGCCCAGACCTAGAGCCCCTCATCAAGGAGATCGTCAGGCGCAACATCACAGGCAGGATCTGGCTGGCCAGCGAAGCCTGGGCCAGCTCCTCCTTGATCGCCATGCCTGAGTACTTCCACGTGGTGGGAGGCACCATCGGATTCGCTCTGAAGGCTGGGCAGATCCCAGGGTTCCGGGAATTCCTGCAGAAAGTCCACCCCAGGAAGTCGGTCCACAATGGTTTTGCCAAGGAGTTTTGGGAAGAAACATTTAACTGCCACCTCCAAGAAGGTGCTAAAGGACCTTTACCCGTGGACACCTTCCTGAGAGGTCATGAGGAGGGTGGCAGCAGGTTAAGCAACAGCTCCACTGCTTTCCGACCCCTCTGCACAGGAGATGAGAACATCAGCAGTGTGGAGACGCCTTACATGGATTACACACACCTTCGAATATCCTACAATGTGTACTTAGCTGTCTACTCCATTGCTCATGCCCTGCAAGATATATACACCTGCTTACCAGGGAGAGGGCTCTTCACCAATGGTTCCTGTGCAGACATCAAGAAGGTTGAGGCTTGGCAGGTAAGTCCTTCACTCAGAGAGCAGTTTGCTGTATAATAAAGCAGAACCGTGCTGATCCAGGAAGAAAGGCAGCAGTTACTTCAGAAATGCAATATCTAAAAGAGGCTACTGGAGGGTGCTTTGGATTCAAAGTGTCTTTTCAGATGTCTGAGCAACTGACTTTTGCAAAATTGGTAGTGATTAACTTGGTTAACTATTTGAAGCCATGACTTCAACTCTTCATTAGTCCATTGATACAGAATGCCTAAAGTATGGCCCCTAAAAGTTTTCAACCAGATTTAGTACTGTGTGGAGTGTTTTTTTGTAATGCCTAAATTAAAGATTCTGCTCCTTTACCAGGATTCGCTGAATGCCTGTTACATTCTGTTACATTACATATTATAAGAGCTGTAAAATGAGCTTTATGTGTTCAGATACAACTTTGGCCATCTATTACAGCCTGTGCTGGACCACCCTCCAGCCACATAAGCATGCACAAGACACAGAAAACTATTTTTAAATAGATTAGATAGTGAACGTTTCAAAAAGAAACACTGAAGTAGTTACAGATAGATATCAGAACCTAGTTACAGGTAGATATCAGAACTTAAGCCTAGTTCCTACACTTATAGTTTAGACTTGTTTTTGCATTTTTTAATTATACATAGGAAAGACAATATGTTTTTCATTTAGTAGAACATCTGAATAAAATAGTCTAGTCTGATATATCCTACTAGCTGCTCATATCTTTCATATGAACCTTGTTCTTTCAATCAGATTCTGTTTTACACTCCCTTGTGTATTTTCCTCAGTTCCAAACTAACCCATCAGAGAGAGTGCATAACTGTGGGTAGGGTAAAGTTTCCTTAATTTGAGTTGAATGACCCAGCCCCCAATTTCAGCTCCATCCAGCACCCTATTTTTGAGCTGTATGATCTTAGACAAGACTCTACTCTAAGTCACAGCCTCTTCCTTTTATAAAATGCACCTAGGGTCTGGCCTACTTTCCATCCATGATTCCTCAAAAAATGAAATGAGATGATGTATATGAAATAATTTGTAAACTTTCAAGCTCTAAACAGAGGTGTGATTATCATAGTAATATGATAAACCCTGCTCCTAATTAAGCAATAAAAAAAAATGATAACCTGAACAGCTTTGTAAACAGAACGCAGCCATCACAGACCCTTCAGGAAAGGTACCAAGAAACAAGGAGTAGACAACTTATGTCCATGGATGAAGAGATTCCCACGTGGTGATAAGGAGTGACTATCTCAGCTGATAGAGTGCACCAAGACCTGCAAGTGCTCAGCTCTTCTTGTGTAGAAAAATCTCTCTCAAACATCATTGCTGGCCAAAGTTTTTAACCTCAAAGTTTCCTTCCCTGCTCTGAACTTCTACTCCAGTAGATACAGGAGCTCGAATGAAGGTCAAAGATTAAAATGACTTTCAGAACCATGATGCTAAGGCGTGGCGTTGAAAGTAGGAGGGTAAAGGGACAATCTCTGGCTGGTGAATACTATTGTCTTTCCATTCTTAATTTCCATGTCCCATAGAAGGACGACCCCAGCTCTTGGAAAGACTGCAAGAGCAGGGTGGAATGGAAGGGAAAGGAGGCTTCCAGTGGGGAATGGCCTTTCAATGACTCTTCTCCCAGATAAGAAGTAAGATTCAGATGGGCAAGGCCAGAACTTAGGCCTATGAGAAAACAAAAAAGAAAAAGAAAACAAAAAACAAGGGAGTTTGGCTGTAGTCAAGATTAGAACTTTCAGTTGTAATAGAAAACTAGACCAAACTGGCTTGAGCAAAACATACACACACATAGAAAAAAAAAAAAAAAAGAGGAAGTGTAGGGGTTCCTGTTGCTGAAAATCTCAGAAGCATTCCAGGCAGGTACTGCTAACTGCTTCATCTCCATCTCTTTGTTCCTTTGTCTCCAGAGCTAGCTGTTTTCAGCCTCTGCAGCAGCTCTGAGCTAAAACCCGTTGCCACTAAGGATCTCCTTACTTCCCAGCACCTCCTTGGAAAGCCCCAGAAATCATGTTGACTAACCACTCCTGGGACACAAATCCATTCCTGATGCTGAGTCCTCTCAAACTACAGAGACTGAGCAAGAGTAAGGGCAGAGTGGATCCCAAAAAGGAAATTTGGATGCTGTTACCAAAAGGAAGAGGAAATAGAAGCAATGCAGATGAAACTTAAATGCCAAAACAGACAACTCACCTGATCCTTGTCCAGATAAACATGTATTCTGGCTCAGACATGCTCTGATACAATTCACACAGAAGAAGAGATGAATAGAAAAATGGGATCAGAGCTCTAGGGAAGAATAATATCCGGGCATTGGTCCCAGGGTCCTGTGTGCTTGCTGTAGGTCTCCTTTGGGCCGCAGTAACCCAAGTTATTAGGCTTGCATTCCAGATTTTAAGACCTCAGCCATGTCTCTGTTCATCAGATGGACCAGCAGTACACTGTCATCATTAAGATCTTGATGGAAACCTGTCACCTGCACAATCTAACCTAAATATCTCAGCCTATAATCCTGCACCTGCCTTCTCTCAAATCTTCCCTCAGCAGCCAACCTGCCTGGCATCTCCCTACAAACCATTTATCCATTTTGGACACATCTTCTCATTGGTTTTTGGCATAGCATTTTTGCTTAAGTCACAGGCACACCTGGAGGGTCATCACTTTCTGTCTCCACCAGTGTTGTCCACCACAAACTTTTTTTTAAATTTTTCTGGAAGTCTTTTCAAATCAGACTCCCACACATATTCTCTCTGGTCATTCTTTATTCATCATTTTGTTCTGTTTTCATACCCAGCTTAGACTTCTACAGTGGTGGATTTCTAGTCTCCTGTCTTTGGCTATGTTCAGTTGATGCTTAGAGTGTGTGCAAATAGGTGATCTCATTTATGCTCATGAGACATACAGTTCCACTTTGAAATCCTTTAGAGGAAATACCCTCAGAGGCCACAAGATGGGAATATGACCACATACAAGAGGATGTGACCTTCTAGTCATGTGCATGCCTTGTGTATTCCCTCTTCTTTCAGATCTGTGTCTTTCTCGGTATTTAGGTTGGTTATGAGCCTTCCGGTCTTTTGTTTCCTTTCTCTTCCTTCATTTATTCATTTTTTTCCCATATTATCCCACAAATCAAATAACTTTGAAGTATATTATTTTGAATTATGATCTCAGGTAAACATTTATGTTTCTATTTTAATAGAACTATTATCAGTTCCTTCTTCTAAAGTTGTAAAAGCAAAAGAATGGTTCCTCTGAGGGGAATATCTAACTTATTTTTTAATTTACATTGATTTTTGTCTTGGGTCAGTAATGACCAACTTAAAGAGTCTCTATCATTGTTCTTAAGGATAAAATGATTTTCCTCTCCATCTTCCCTGTTATGTGAATTAAAGGCAAAATATTCTGCAGTAAATAAAGTGCTTAAATATAAAGCTTGCAAGTCAACATATCGAAAAAATATTAAAAGATACTTATAGGAATGACATAAGGACAGGACTTAATAAACAAATCATTGGTTTCAAATGGATGAGGCATAAATTTTGACCACCACATATTTTATAGTCATGTGATTTTATTTACATACCTGCTATGAGGATGAACACTGCAGTACCTCAGGTTAGGATCTGCAATAAGGAAGAAAATGTAAAACATTATGCAAAGCCAGATCCAGTCACACAAGTCCCAAGGGGCTTCCTTTTCTGGATGAGATGTCTGCATTTCTACCTTTTGGCTTCTGCCTGTCCTTTATCTCCCCACTGCACTCTAAAACTAGACTTGCCATGTGTCCTTGGTCACCTCTCAGTGGCAAGTATCTGAGATTCAACCTTGTTATCAGTCCCTGCCTACTGCTGAATATGAGCTCCCCCAAAGAAGTCATATTTCAATTTTCTAAATTACCATTCCATACCTCCTTTAAAAAAACCAGCTTTATTGAAATATAATTTAGATGCCATATAATTTACTCATTTAAATTATTAAATTCCATGTTTTTACATATTCATAGAGTTGTGTAACCATGACTACAGCCCCCTTTAGAATCACATCATAAAGAAACCTCAGACCTTTATCACTCCCTAGTGTCCCCTCCCGTACTTCCTTCTCTAAATAATCACTAATCCACCTTATGGACATCTCTGAACACTTTACATAAATGAAATGGTACAACCTATGGTCTTTTGTGACTCCTGTAGCCTAATACTGTATTTTGAAGGCTCATCAATATTGTAGCATGCATCTGTACTTTGGATGCATGCCAAATAGTATCCCATTTAATGTCTTTTCATCTGTTCATTCATCCAATTGGTAGACATTTGGATTGTTTCACTTTGGGTTATTATAAATAATGTTGCCAGGAACACTGGTGTACTAGTGTTTGTATGGACACATATTTTGATTTCTGCTTAGTACATTCATAAGGGTGAAATTGAGTTGAATAGTTACTCTGTATTCTAGTTTTTGAGAAACTGTAAGACATTTTTCCAAAGTGGCTACATGTTTAAATCCCCACCAGCAGTTTCTAGACTGCTTCTAGATGTTCTCATCAACACTTTTTATTCTCTGACCCCATGCTATTTTGACGTGAAATCTAGACTTTTTGCCTTGGCCTCTCTTTACTTCTCTACTATATTTCCCCTTATTCTCCACCACATATGCAGTTTTAGAGAAACTGGTCTCTGCTGCCCCCATTACATGTCATGTTTATTCCTGAAATGATACCTTTGCCTATGCTTGTTCCCCTGTTTTTAACACCCTACTTCCCCCTACCTTTGCCAGTGCAAATCCCTACCATGCTTCAAGTCCATGTTGGCCATTTCAGCTCTGTTGAATCTCTATTCTCTCTGACTTTCTCTGTACTTAGCCCTTAACCATGTTTTATCTTGCTGTTTCATTAAACATTTATCTTATATTTTATCACCTTAATCCACATATGAACTTGCTGAGGACTGGATGACAATGTATTCTATTTCTGCAGCATGGTTCAGAACACACAGTGGATATTGTATAAATATTTGGTTGATTGATTCCAACAGTATCCAGAAACAGAAAACGCTGGTCCTAGTTTTTAAGAACTGGTTTAAATGTGTGGTAGAACTGAAGAAAGAGACAGGCAGATCCAAGATTGCACAGAGTGCATTTTACTGGGGAGTTACTAACAGAAGCATAGTCTTAGATGGTAGTGAGACCAGTGGGTCCCTACAATTTGGATCCAGAGGAGGGCATTTATATAATGGTCAGGACAAAAGTGACCTCATCCAAGCTGGAATGTACCTGGTTTATCTCAAGCTAATGTCAAAGACATTAAACACATTCCTGGCATTGACAGTGCCAAGGTCCAGGTTTTAAAGCTCTTCATACCACTCTAATGGTTTGTCTGCTTATAATATCTGGGAAACTATGTGGGGAAAACAGATCAGGGTTTCTTAGGAACAATCATGGCAGTTATGACACAAGATGGCTGCACTCAGTCAAGCTGAAACCCTATGGTATACAAGTCCAGTCTTGTATGTACAATGGGTTTCTTCGTGCAAACTTGGAATCTTTAAGAAAATGATTTTAATTGGTTTCTTCTTTCAAGTTAGAAATATGGTGGCAATCCGTTCTAAGCCAACAGAAATGCAGAAAGCTTATAACCAGAGGTTTTTTTGAGTCATCTGTCTAATATGACCAATGTAATAGATAATCATCTAATTATGAAATAATATTGTTCCAGCTCCCCTCCCCTCACCTACCCCAATGTCTGGAGAGTTCCATCAGAGAGACTAGTAGACAGTAAAAACGAGAGAGACAACCTGTTGCCTGGCATGTTAAGAACCAAGAAACCTGAACAGGAAGAAAAAAATCTGTGCTAACTACTCAAGCTTTTACTATTACATATGGTATTAGAGGTGGTTCTCCAGAGGAACAGAACCAACAGGATATGTGTATAAATATATGACAGGGAACTTTTTAGGAACAAGCTCATGTAATTATGGCAGCTGAGGAATCCTATGACAGGTAGTTTGTAGGCTGAGGACCCTGGGATTCTGGGAGCATGGTTCAGTCCAGTACTTCAGGCCTCAGAACCAGGGAAGCTGAGGGTGTCCCTCTCAGCTTGAAGCAGAAAGCCTGAGAACATGGAAAAGATGCTGCTGGGGTGTAAATCCTGGGGTCCAGAGGCCAGAGAGCCTGGGACTCCAAGGCAGGAGGTGAGTGTATGTGCTCTCTTGGGGAGAAACACCAACTCACCTCTGTGTTTGTTCCCCTGCGACCCCACAGATTGTATGGTGCCCACTCACTCTTAAGAGGGTGGATTCTCCCACCTTGTCCACTCAGACTCACCCACAAACCTCCTCTGGAAACACCTTCACACTCCTTAAGAGCGCTTTACCAGATTTATAGGTATTCCTTAATCCTATGAAGTTAAAACCTAAAATAAACCCTCACATATATGTCTGTTCCGTCAAGTAGGAGTGATGCTTTTTTAAATGTTAATGGGAAAATATTACTGACCTCTGACAAATCTTTGTCATGGACACTGAGCAATTTCTATTGAAGGTAGAAATCCCAGCTAAATCTAAATCCCAGCTCTAGCCTTACTAGCTGCATGACTTCTGCAAGTTTCTTGAGCTTTCTTTGCCTCAGTCTCATCATCTCTGAGGCTGGTGCCTATTGAATTGTGAAGAATAACGGAGAGAGTGTATATAAAGCATTAGTCCAGTGCTGGCACATGGGATGTGTAAATAAGAGGTAGTTCCCTGCCTCTCCACTCTTCTCATCTCCCTTGACACACATCAGAGTGAAGACAGAGTTAGCATGGCATGTGGAAGGGACAGTGGAAATGCATGATGAGCATAAAGACATCAAAGGTATATGAGACCCAAGTATGGAGGGCTTGGGGACCACCTGGAAAACTTTAAAGCATATTTCATCTGAGTCGTGGAAGGTCCCCATCAGGAAATGAGAAGAGCATTATTATGGCTTGGAGAAGAATGGATGGGCCCTATCAGAAAGGACCCAGAGTAGGTGGAAGGAGTGAGGCTTTGAGAGTTGCTGCAAGGGACAGCATTAAAGAGCAGAGAGCCACATGTTTCCCTGAAGGGAGGAAGGATGTGGCCAGACACAGACATGTAGGAGTAGAGAAAGGGATGTACACACAAGTTCGGGAGGAGGTCAGCACAATCAAAGTGCAAGGAGGAAAAGGAAGGAGAGATGAAGGGCTAAGAAAGGGGCATGTGTGGGACTCTTCCTCTCTGCAGAGTGTTTTAAGGACTCAGTAAAAATTAAGGCAGAAGTAAGACTGATGACCAGAGGGAGAACATGAATAACAAGACCTTTGTGGGATTCATCCTCCATCTTTTCTGAGAATGGCTCTGTAGCTCTAAATGAAGAAACAAGGGGACAAGGAGTGAGAAAGTCTCCCCCCAACAGACCTGGAACAAAAGTCAGGACAGCCAGGGGGGCAGTGAGGACACTGAAGTAACCACAAACAGCAGTCCAGTGAGGTGGCCAGGGCTGTGCCTGCGAGCACACAGGCTCCTCCCACTGACTCTGCCCCCAAACACTTCTTTGAGCTGCTGATGTACAAATTCAGATGACTCCTTTTCTCTAACCTTCCTAACTACAAATAAATGTTTAGTTAAAAATAGTCAATGTAGAAATAAATTGTTAAGAAGTAGTGTTGGGCTGGGGTCGTGGCTCAGCGGTAGAGCGCTCATCTAGCACGTGCGAGGCCCTGGGTTCAATCCTCAGCACCCCATAAAAATAAATAAATATTGTGCCCATTTACAAATAAAAAAATGAAGAAGAAGAAGGAGAAGGAGAAGAAGAAGAGACGTCATCATCATCATCTCTGGAGTGGAGTGGCACATGCAGGGTGTTCCTGAGGCTCTGGCTAGGTTTGTCATGGTTTGTCACACCCATCAGGCGACAGTGAATAACAGGTGCTGGGCTGGGTCTCATTACACAGCTGAGGAAATGGGCTCAGAGGGGGAGAATGATAGACTCCTGAGGTGCAGCAGAATTGAGCACCCCTACATCATGGCCTAGACCTTGTCTTCCACTCACTTCATACCACAGTGACACAGGTCAGGTTTTGCATGAAAGATAAGCAGCTTGGTGTCCACCGCCTCCTGACCTATATCACAGCCACAGCAGAACAGGGCCAGGAGCCCACTAATGCTGCTATACAGTAGAGCAATTAAGAACACAGGCTTGTGATCCTGGACAACTACTTAAATTTTCTGTGCCTCAGTTCCCCATGAATAAAATGAGGATAATCATAGTATTTGTTGTGAAAAGTATATTAAATAACAAATACAAATTACTTAGAATCTTGCCTCAAATATAGTAAAATGTCAAGTATTTAAAATGATTAGCATATGTTAATAATCATTATAATGACTTTTTCTGCAAAGACTTTGTAACCCATTTTTTAAAAGTATATAAATTCAGGTATCTGCCATGATGGTCAATAGTGATGGCCAGGGCTCCCCGCTACAGCCTCATTTCTTGCTTTCTTCCACCCACTCTGTGACTTTGGGCAGCAAGACTCTTCTACAGAAACAAAACCATAGCAAAAGAGCGTGCACAGAGTTGGAGCCCTTAGGCATCCCTCCTCTCCTTTCCCAGTGCTCATCTCAGATGATGCAAGGAAGGGTCTCTGGCTACAAATCCTGCCCCTCCCAGGATACCTCAGGGTGATGATGCACCTTCAGAAGCTTTGAATATGTCCTTTGAGATATGGCCAGATGAGATGTATCCTTTTCTCCTTCTGATCTTCAAGAAGGTATTTCTTTCTGGGTGCAATGGTGTTCACCTATAATCCCAGTGGCTAGGGCAGCTAAGGCAGGAGGATCACAAGTTCAAAGCCAGCCTCAGCAACTTAGCGAAATCCTAAGCAACTAAGCAAGACCCTGTCTCAAAATTTAAAAATAAAATAAAAGGCTGGGGATGTGACCCAGTGGTTAAGCACCTCTGAGTTCAAGTCCTGGTAGGTAGGTAGGTAGGTAGGTTGGTAGGAATGGAGGAAGGGAGGGAGGGGGAGAGTTTTCTGCCCATGGCTGCTGCTGGCATGTATAGGTACCTCAAGGAACATTAGAAAAATTCACCTCTTCCTTAAGTCATGTCCATTCCATTTTGTTGGAATGACATAGTTTACTGTCCTTCTTGAGTACACAACTTACATAACCAAATGTGGCACCCCTGAGGCTCATATTCATTCAGCTCTGTTATTCTTTAGGTCCTGAAGCACCTACGGCATCTGAACTTTACCAACAACATGGGGGAGCAGGTGACTTTCGACGAGTGCGGTGACCTGGTAGGGAACTATTCCATCATCAACTGGCACCTCTCCCCAGAGGATGGCTCCATCGTGTTTAAGGAAGTTGGGCATTATAATGTCTACGCCAAGAAGGGAGAAAGACTCTTCATCAACGAGGAGAAGATTCTGTGGAGTGGGTTCTCCAGGGAGGTGCGTGCTGTCCATCAGAACACCAGGGGCCACCATTGTGGGCAGGAAACTGTCCTTGGGCTTCACCCCTGGACTTCCAGAATTGAGCCCTTTCTATAACTCACTAACTCCACGTGTCTAGGGCTCCTGTGAACTCCAAGAGAAGCCTCAGAACCTGAGTCCTGTGCCTTCTTACTATATTCAAACAATTTTATTTTGTATAGCTATGACTCCCTGGCTAGTAATAAAGTCTCCCTGAATAAAACTTTCCCCAACCAAAGCAAAATATTTAAGCAAACGTAAACATCTTTCAAGTCAGTGGCTCTCAACTGGGACCAAAGGGGAAATCCTGCTTATCCTGGATAGGGGAGATAAGTCTGAGAGTGGAAAGGGTTGCTTTTTAGACTGTCACAATGACCAAGAAGTATGAAAGGCCTTCAGCACTTGGGGTCCAGGGATGCTCTTCAGCATAAGTGGGACAATCTTGCATGTAGCAAAGATTTACCTCCTACCCTAACTACCAGCATCTGCCACTGAGACAGTCAAGCCCAAGACAAAGCTGGATGCTTCAGGATGAGGCATTTGCTGTTATCACCATTGACAGTTCACACAGAGGTGGTTTTCTGTCCTCCAAATAGCTTAGTACTGACCCATAAGTCAAAATAACCATTTATTCTCCTACTATAAGAGACCTGTGACAAAGAGAAGGATGCCTGTGACTATAGTCAGGCCTCCCTGTCCTGCATGTCACTGCATCTAGAAACCTGATCAATAACCAGAGTGTGATGTACTGAAGTGGTGACCCTTGTTTGCTGGCTGTAGCCTCGAATGTAGCAGGATGCTAAGAACCATCTTCTCTGCAGGAACCAGACCCTGGGCGGGCACCCTCTTTAACTCTCCTAGGACACCTGGCTGAGAGCCACTGTGTTTCTCTTTGCATTTACCTTTTTGCTGCCATCCTTGGTTCACTTCTTATAATATGACCAAAGACTCAACTTCATCTTGTTGCCAGATGCTTCTTAGGTTGACAGATGTCTGATGAGATGCTGCAATTTCACTGTTTCCCAATGCATAGGAGGGGTTCACGTGTGACAGTGTCCTATAGACAGTGAATCCCACCCACAGTGTGCAGGTCTTTGTTAGTTTCTACTCGAGAGGGTGGATATCAATTACAAACATGTCTTGACCTTTTCCAGATGGGAATTTGGGATTCCAGAGGTTATAATCATCTGCCCACTAATTATACCCTTGTCTACCTTGTCACACATTTCAACTGACTGAAGTCTAAACTTATTGTACCATTACCTGTTCACCCTGTTGGGTTATTCTTTCATCCACATTAATGCATGTAATTGATTATCTCTAATTGGTGCCTGTCTCATTTCCCTTCTTGCATGAAAGCTATTTCCTGTATAGTTCTCTATAATCTTAATGTTCCTGACCAAACTATGTGCGTCATGGGCTTAAACATTAGTGAATGAATAACACAGGGAATCCTCACACATTCAGTCATTTATGTTCCTGAATAGTTGCTAGAATTATAAAGTAACTCTAATAGAAACAATACCTCAAAGCTAACATATAACATGCACCCAACAAATCTTAGAGTCTAATCTACTCTCTCTTTTCTGAAAATTTTGGTGGGAATGACCAAAAAGTGCTATGTATATTTAACTATAAATTACATATTAATAACTTCCTTATATATCTTACAAATTTGTTATTGAGATCAAGGGATCAATGATGTAGAAGCATAGTTTAAACTGAATTATGCTATATACATACAAAGTCATATTTATATAGCATTATCATTTCTTCCTTTGGTTTTTTTGTTATGTTTTGTTTGTTTGTTTGTAGTGCTAGGGGTCAAATCCAGGGCCTCGGCCATGCGAATCATTGCTACCACTGAGCTACTCCTCCAGTCCTCCAGCCCTCCAGTATCATATCTTAAAAAAAATGCTCTCAATTTATTTACAAATGTAGCACTGTAGAGTTAAGTCTTTAAAGACCCTTATCTCCAATCCTTCAATTTGAAGTTGATGACACTGAGGTTCAGTTATGCAAAGGTGACTTCCCAGGCCCAATGGAGGGTATAAGGACCAGAACTAGACCCTAGGGCCTAGGTGCTCTGTCCTCTACACTCTTCTGTCAATTATTCTTCCCTTGCTTTGCTGCAACAAATAAGAATTAAAATAGACATCTTCATTTGGGGCTTGGAGGTCAGATAAGCTTTCTTGGCCAGAACTGGACAGGTATCTTTAATAAGTCTTTGGGGAGACCTAGAGATCCTGGATGGCTTTTTGAACAATGGATCTTTCCAGTGGCCATTTCTGCCTACTCTTATGGTGATAAGATTTCTCTTTGACTGACAGATGTTGTAGGATGAAATAAGAGGACTCAGAGGCGACATTCTTCTAATCCTTAACTAGTATAAAACAGGGTTTATTATGGTGAAAAGTGTAGACTTTGACAACTGACCTGGGTATGAATTCAGCTTTCCAATAGGGTCACAGTGTGACCTTCAGACTGTTCATTAACCACATGAAGAACAGAAAAGAGGCGTGGCTAAAAAGGCTGCTAGGGGCCCCTGATTTCTGCACTTCCCTCTTTCTTTAATCATAGAACTCTGGGACTCATGACTGCCCAGAATAAAGATGGTATTTTCCAGCTTCCTTTTTTTCTAAGTGTGGCTGTGGAATGGGATCTAAGTGGCAGTGTTGTGCCTTGGCTTCTGGGAACCTTCTTTGAGAAACTGCTTGCAAGTATCCTTTGCTCTCTTCTGCATCCTTTCCTCTATCTTGCCTCCTAGAACCATCTTACACCCTGCCACCATCAAGGAACATGAGGCAAGTGCCTAGTGTAACAGAAAAACAAGGCAGAAAGAGTCTGGGTCTCCAACACTGTGAGTGCCCTGTTATTCTGGACCACAACCCTAGACACTTATGTAAGAGAGAAATGCACTTCACCTTTATGGAGTCATTTTGTTATTTGGAGATTTTGGAACTCACAGTCTAACATAAATCAAAACAGAAAGCTACTAAACTCATTTCATCAGGCTAATATTATCTCAAGGCCCCAAACCAACAAGAACAGTATAAGCAAAGACAATGATAGGCCAATCTTGTTGAATAAGATGCAATCTTACTAACTATAAATACTCATATCGTAATAAAATCTCAGCAAACTTAGAGCAGCAGTGCACGAAATATATAATATATAATGATCCAGTAGAGTTGGTAATGAAATGTACAGGAATATAATGTTAGCCAAATACTACAAATTTCATAACTGTAGCTTATTACATTAACAAAATAAATGATTGCTTACATTTGTGTGCACCAAAAATCCTGAATGCTTTTAATTCCCATAACCTGAATGCACGACTCTTTTTCAGCAGACTCTGCTGCAGGTTAATGGAGCAACTTTGCCCACAGACTCAGAGCAGCAGAAAAATCTTGAGAATTTACAGTTTCCAACAATGAGCCTAAACCAGTCAATAGTGTGGAAGTATGAAGCCCTAGCCCCTCCTCATGTCAGGACCATCTGAGGCAGAGCCCACCGTCCAGGGGCCCCTCTTAGAGCACAAGCTACTTTCTGAGGGACTTGGCTCATCCTCCACCCCTTCTACATCCTACATCCCCCATTCTTGCCTGTTTCCAGTGGAAGGACTTCTTTTTATAAATCACTTGTACACAAATCCTCAACTCACATTCTGCTTCCAAAGACAATCTAAAATAATCAATGTGTGAGATGCACCTGCAATTTTTTTCCTACTGTTCTTATCTGGTTTTGTTTCCAGGATTATTATATTTGCTTTACAAGAATAAATTAGAAAATGTTCCTTTATTTTTTTCCATTCTCTGATAGTTTGTATAAAATTAGATTGATCTCTTCCTTACAAGTTTGATTTTTTGTTTGCCTATAATGGACACAGGACGCTGATGTCCTCTTGGGAATTAACGTACAGCAGATGCAGGAGCAAAGGGCAGAGAGAAGCAGAGTTAGATGTAGGTTATTGTCCCCTTTCTGGTTTTGCTTTGGACAGTAGACATTAAAAATGCCTAACTAAAAGTAAGCCAAACATAAACCAGTCATGATGGAAGAAAGCAAGGATCATGGTTCACTAATCAAATACTGTGTACCTGAAGTCCATTAAGAAAATATAATAAAACAAAATCCATCATCATTATCTGAAAGTAATGGAGCCCTGCAGCTTTCTGTTGGTTAGTTAGTTGCCTGAGACAGCTCTCTGATCCACTTACTTTGGATTCTTCCATGCCTGTCCTGATTGCCGCACTGAACTGTAGCAAGGATCTCAGAAATCACCCTGGAAAGAAGCAGAATTGTAGGACACTGCAAAGTTCAGAGTCTCACTTTCAAACAAATTTCCCCTTGTCTCTGTATCCCTCAACCTTGTGACAAAGCCTCTGTGTGTAAGTCACTATCCTTGTTATCTTTTAGTTTGTCTCAAGCTTTTTTATCCCTGGAGAAGAAACAGGAATCACTCCCTTTCACAGCTAACGGAACCAAGGACCCCTGGACCTACCTCTGCCTGGAAAGGACCAGAAGTCTGCTATACTGGTCCTTGGGCCCAAACTCCTCCCCCCTTGCATGTGTCCAAGGAGCTGTGGGACTGACCCCCTGACCCCACTGTTATAGCCACTCAGTTTGTGCTCTCTACCCTCCAGGTGCCCTTCTCCAACTGCAGCAGAGACTGCCTGGCAGGGACCAGGAAAGGGATCATTGAGGGGGAGCCCACCTGCTGCTTTGAGTGTGTGGAGTGTGCGGACGGGGAGTACAGCGATGAGACAGGTAAAGGCACAGCCCCTCGTGGAGACCGTGAAGGGCTCCATCCACTTCAGGGGCCTGGAGTCAGCAAAGCCCATGGAAGAGCTGGGTGGAGATGGTGCTTAGCACAGTTTTTCAGTGTTACACTGTGCTTGGCAGAGGGGGAAGAGAAAAGGAACCTCAGATGTTCTTTTAATTCCATAGGAACTGTCAAATACGTCTGTGACATGTCTTTCACTCACTTTGAAACTGCACTCCAACATTCTTCCCTTTTCTTGGAATTCAGTACCCTAAAATAGAAAGCACCATCTGCTCCAGGCTCCAGAGTTAATTGGCCATGACAAGTTGCCACTGGTGCCTGGTGCTGTATTTGTCTTCTTTATGTTTTTCCTGTGCCTCAAGTTCTCTTAAAGTGGGGGTAACAATTAAGCCTGTCTTATAGAGTCTGGAGAATTAAACAGATTAATATTGGTAAGGCACATGCAAGTTCTAGGTAAATGTTTGCTAAATACATCTTTGATTAGCATATTAAAAGCACTTTATAAATATTAACTACACTGTTATTACTGTTATTATTCAATCCTCAACACAAAAAAATGGGCTTATCATTAGTTTCATAGTACAGATGAAGAAACTGAGGCTCAGAGAGGTTGATGAGCTGGTAAATGGCCTGGCCAGGATCCCATCCAGATCTCTAACTACAAAATCCATGCTCCCTTCACTGCCCCAAACTGCACACTACCTGACACATATCAAGATTTAGCAAATCTTTATTGCTTGAATAAATCTGCAGTCCCCTCATTGGAAATCCATGGATGTGGATGGAGAGAGGGAAACACAGGCCATATTCATAGAATGTTCTGCCCTGATCTAAAAGAATGTCTGCTCTGGCATGTCTAAAGAGTCCATACACATATGCAAAATAAACCAAGATGAATGTGAGTTCATAGATGTGTTAATCTACTTCATCATAGTCATCATTTTACTGTCTGTACGTATCCCACAACATCATGTTTCATACCTCAAGTGTGCACAATAAAATTTATTTTAAAAATAAATAAATCAGGCTGAATTGAGTTGCACTGTGCACAGCTGATGGACCATGCTAGACCTTTGGCATGCAGGGCCATCTCTACTCCAAACCATAAGCAGACAGCATGAAAAGAAACAAGTGCCCCCCCACACACACACACACAAAGGAAAAGCAAAACAACTAACAGAGCAGTCAAAGGTTCATAGTTTTTTGTTCTGCTTTAGGATTTTTGTGGCTGATTGGATAGTACTGGCGATTAAACTTTACCACTGAGTTACATCCTCAGTTCTTTTAATTTTTATTTTTTTTTATTTTGAAACAGGGTCTTGCTAAGTTTCTGAGGCTAGCCTAAAACTTGCAATCCTCCTGCCTCTGCCTCCCCAGTCTCTGGGATTATAGCCATGGGCCACTGTGCCTGGCTGGTACATAGTTTTTGATAGTGTAAAAATCACAATGGTTTTATCAATAAAGAAAGTATACAGTGACCAAATCAAATAACCTGTGTGCTCTCACCGCCACATATACATACTCACAGATGTTGGTCTATGCCACTTGGTAGCTAACCACCCACTGGGACATTTTACAGATGCCAGTGCCTGTATCAAGTGCCCGGATGACTTCTGGTCCAACGAGAACCACACTTCCTGCATCGCCAAGGAGATTGAGTTTCTGTCGTGGACTGAGCCCTTTGGGATCGCGCTCACCCTCTTTGCGGTGCTGGGCATTTTCCTGACAGCCTTCGTGCTGGGTGTCTTCATCAAGTTCCGCAACACGCCCATCGTGAAGGCCACCAACCGAGAGCTCTCCTACCTCCTCCTCTTCTCCCTGCTCTGCTGCTTCTCCAGCTCCCTGTTCTTCATCGGAGAGCCCCAGGACTGGACGTGCCGCCTGCGCCAGCCGGCTTTTGGCATCAGCTTCGTGCTCTGCATCTCGTGCATCCTGGTGAAAACCAACCGCGTCCTCCTGGTTTTTGAAGCCAAGATCCCCACCAGCTTCCACCGCAAGTGGTGGGGGCTCAACCTGCAGTTCCTGCTGGTTTTCCTCTGCACCTTCATGCAGATCGTCATCTGTGTGATCTGGCTCTACACGGCGCCCCCCTCCAGCTACCGCAACCACGAGCTGGAGGATGAGATCATCTTCATCACGTGCCACGAGGGCTCGCTCATGGCGCTGGGCTTCCTGATTGGCTACACCTGTCTCCTGGCTGCCATCTGCTTCTTCTTCGCATTCAAGTCCCGGAAGCTGCCGGAGAACTTCAACGAAGCCAAGTTCATTACCTTCAGCATGCTCATCTTCTTCATCGTCTGGATCTCCTTCATTCCAGCCTATGCCAGCACCTACGGCAAGTTTGTCTCTGCCGTGGAGGTGATCGCCATCCTGGCAGCCAGCTTCGGCTTGCTGGCCTGCATCTTCTTCAACAAGGTCTACATCATCCTCTTCAAGCCCTCCCGTAACACCATCGAGGAGGTGCGCTGCAGCACCGCTGCGCACGCTTTCAAGGTGGCAGCCCGGGCCACGTTGCGCCGCAGCAATGTCTCCCGAAAGCGGTCCAACAGCCTCGGGGGCTCTACGGGATCCCTCCCCTCCTCCTCCATCAGCAGCAAGAGCAACAGCGAAGACCCCTTCCCGCAGCCCGAGAGGCCGAAGCAGCAGCAGCCGCTGGCCCTGACCCAACAAGAGCAGCAGCAGCAGCAGCAGCAGCAGCAGCAGCAGCCCTTGACCCTCCAGCCACAGCAGCAGCAATCGCAGCAGCAGCCCAGATGCAAGCAGAAGGTCATCTTCGGCAGTGGCACCGTCACCTTCTCCCTGAGCTTTGACGAACCTCAGAAGAACGCCATGGCTCACAGGAATTCCACGCATCAAAACTCCCTGGAGGCCCAGAGAAGCAGCGATGCCCTGACCAGACACCAGGCACTGCTCCCGCTGCAGTGTGGGGAGACAGACTCAGACCTGACCACCCAGGAAACAGGCCTGCAAGGGCCCATGGCCGGGGCCCACCAGCCAGAGATGGAGGATCCGGAAGAGATGTCCCCAGCACTTGTTGTGTCCAGTTCCCGGAGCTTCGTCATCAGCGGGGGAGGCAGCACGGTCACGGAAAACATACTGCATTCCTAGAAAGGAAGAAGGCCTGGCCAGGAAGAATAGAGAGAGGTTTCTTGGAATCACAGGGACGAGGAATCACCGCACACTCCTTTCCTTTGAGGAAAATGGGACAATAGACGCATCAAACACCCCAACTTAGTCGCCCTGCTTTAAATGGCAGTCAATTGGCTCTTGATCCCTTTACAAATAAAAAAGAAAGAAAGGAAGGAAGGAAGAGCCGTGTGTTCTGTGATCGTGTTTGTCAGAATGTTATGTCATGGTCAGATGTGCTGTCATTCCCATCTGAAATCTCTTCCACTGCTATATCTCACCCAGCAGCTCAGAGATGAAGTCAAGGCTTTAAGCTGCCCACCTACACCTTCTTTAAAAGAAAAGGGGGGGGAGGGGATTGGGTGGTGGCTCAGCGGTAGAGCACTGGCCTAGCACAGGCGAGGCCCTGGGTTCGATCCTCAGAACCACATAAAAATAATTAATTAAAGATATTGTGTCCAACTACAACTAAAAAATAAATATTAAAAAAAAGAAAAGTGGTGTGTGTATGTATGTGTGTGTGTGTGTGTGTGTGTGTAGAAATGCCTGCCCTGTAAATCATGGACAGCCATGACCTGAATCATGGACCAGAGAAAAAAAGTATGCAGACTGACATGACAGGACGTCCAGTTTGCCAGCTGGAGTTAAGAGTCTGAAAGTCATCACGTCACCAGAACTGCCCAACACCTTGACAATGGAAAGAATTTAAAATGTTCAAAAACATCAGAGGGATGTGCCCCCTCTTATTTATGAAAACCATAAGATGTGAGTTTCTTGGCCTTGGTCTCCTACCTGCTGCTGCTCTTGGGTGACGTCTAGAAAGTCTGCATCCCTTCTGTAGCAATATGTCTGGGTTTTTTTCCAGAACATGATAGTGAGGTCACATTTATATTCCAGGATCACAAGAATCACCTCCAGTTGTAGGGAAGGGACTGTGTAAAGTCAATGAGCTGTATGTATCTGTTATTAATATTGTTGTATCTAGGTTTATCCTTACAAAAATGCTTCTGTTGTAATGGTCCGTGGACAATATAAACTGAAAAATTGTTGCAGTCTGGTTTCTACACAGCAGTGTTATTGAGCTCCATTTTCCTTTCCCATCCTACCACCCTCACCCCCATGAGCAGAGCCCTATGTGAGACCTTTCAGGGCCTCGGGAGTCCAGAAACTCCCTCTATCTCTGCCCTAATGGCTTTCTGAAGCCAGATCCATGCCTGACCTGGTGAAGGATGAGCTCCAGGTCGTTCGTTGCCTCCCTGCCAGTTGCTGGGGTCAGAGGGTGGTTCCAGGTGAGCCCCACCCCACACTCCTTTCCCTTGAGGAAGACGGGATAATAGACGCATCACCCCAAGGCCAAGACTGAGTTCCCTCCAGCAGTGGAGTGAAAGGAAATAGATGGCCCTATCAAAGTATTTATTCAGTTTCCCCCAAACTTGGGGTGATGAGGGGATTGGAAATAGGGACAAAGGAACACACAAATATAGAGAAAGCAGGACCCAGTGGGAAAGCCAGCCCTGATGAGGCCTGACTGACACCAGAGCAGGCTCCACCTGTTTATTACAGGTGTAAACATCAAAAGGATGTATTGTGAGAAAGCTTCTTCAAGATAAACAAAAACAAGGTTGCAAGCAGGAACCACCCTATTAAAAGCTTATCAGCTTGCGCCCATATCTCTTCTACCTCCGGGCAGCTGGCATTTGAACCCAAGGCTATTGAACCAATAAGTGTTGTGAGGCACAGAAGCCTCTTTAACCATGTGCTACCAGCGACTGAGCAGTCTCCATTGGTGTATTTCCACCAGGAGTTCTGCCTAGGGATGGTTTGGAGAAATCCATAATTCATTTGAGGCTCCCCACAGCCCTGAGAACTCAGACTACAGTGCCAGAGAGATGAGGTGGAAGCCCAGGCTTGGTCACTGATAAGCTGGGTGACCTTAGGCAGGGAACCACAACCTCTCTGAGCTCTAGCTTCTTTGACTCCAAAATGCAGGTAATAATCATCCTTTTCTCTCAGAACGCTTACCTTACTATGTAAGTTAAGCATGGTACCTGACACATCGTAAGTACACGATAAATATTATTAATACAAATACTAATGTCACGACTACTATTCTTTCATATGCTTAGACTGTGCTGTAGATCATGGATATCCTCCAGAGGTCTACATGTTAAAGACTTGATCCCCAAGGTGGCACTATGGAAGGTTATGGAACCTTTAGGAGGTGGGGCCTAGTGAGATTTCATCAGGGGTGACAATCTCTTGAAGGGGATTGTCCCCTTCTTCTTTGGCTCTTGCTTCCTGGCGATCAGACCAGCAGTTTGTTCTGCCACACACTCCCCACCATTGCCATCTGTCAACCCTACCAGAGGCCTAAAAATGATGAGTCTGTCTGAACATGGCCTGGAATAAAAGAAATCTTTTTTCTTTATAAGTTCATTATCTCAGGCATTTTGGTACAGGGACAGAAAGTTGACTGACACAAAATACAAAGCAAAATTTTTATTAACCATTCATATTTTAATGACTAACCCACTGACCACAATAATTTTCTCCATAATAAAGTCCATAATAAATTCTGGGGCCAGGCCAATGGGACAGGCCTACTAATTTGGCTCACGTTGAGGAAGCCAGATAGCCAGTCAGAAGGCCCAATGCTCCGTGGTGCCAGAGCCGACACCTCCAGCATCAAATAAAGGCTCTCACCAACTGTCAGTCTCTCAGATCCTTCTGAATGCTTCATTATTACAAGACCAAACCATAAAGCAATTAAATCTGTCTGCAACCTCTAACTTTACAGTTCTTCATGACTTCTTTCTCTGACTGCTTTTTTCCAAAGGGATTCCTGTCAGTGATTTTTAAGGTAACTTTTGACATCATGGTCATTATGCTTACAATGAAAAACCAGAGAGGACACCATAGAAAGCAGAACTGAGACACTGAAGGTGGCCACATCCCAACGGGTTCCACCCAGAAAGAGAATCAGCCCTGTCTCCGCTGCCCAGCTGCTACCCCACTTCTGGTCAGCCTCTGAGCAAGGAACAGAACTGAGTGAGGATTTATATTTAACATTTTACCTGGTCTTTAAAAAAATAGAAAATAAAAGAAGTACAGTGGCATATGCCTATTATCTCAGAATCTGGGCAGCAGAAAAGAGAGGATTACTTGAGTTCAGAAGTTAGAGAGCAGCGTGGGCAACATCTAAAAAAAAAGTTAAATTAAAAAAAAACTAAACTAAAAGCTTAATGACTTTTTAAAAATGTATCACAACAACTATGTGGAAACAATCTCAACAGAATGTCACATCTCATCCTTCCTGGATTTGATTTCATTGTTCTCCTCACCTAGGTAAAAACAAAAACAACAACAACTACCACTACTACTACTACTATTGTTGCTGCTACTCCTCCTCCTCCTCCTCCTCCTCCTCCCCCTCCTCCTCCTCCTCCTCCTCCTCCTCTCCCTCCTCCTCCTCTTCTTCCTCCTGCAAAGGTGGCTGAAGCTGGGCTGGGGCTGGGGCTCAAGTGATAGCGCACTCACCTGGCATGCTCAAGGCACTGGGTTCTGTCCTCAGCACCACATAAAAATAAAATAAAAAGATATCGTGTCCACCTAAAACTAAAAAATAAATTAAGAAAAAAAAAAAGGTGACTGAAGCTCAGCCAGGAGAACACATAACAGCTCCGTTAAGCCTTCAGTTGGCCAAGTGCTTGCAAATAAAGTAATCTGTCCAATATTCTTCAGAAAGGTCAACACAGCATCATTGTCCCAGTATATATGGAGCACCAAATCGGAAGTATGATATATGAATCTTCATGATTTTTCTATAACAAACTAATTTCTATCTCAGATTCTCATTCAGCCTGGTGACAGAAATTTGATCTTAGTCATATTGGGGGGGGGGGGTTTTCTCAATAACTTCAGAGTTTTCTAAATCACTTTAAATATTTGGGAGTAAATTCAGAGGTTTTCTTCTGCCTTTGAGGCAGGAGTTTGTCATGTGAAGGGTTAATGTTCTTCCATCACCAGCAACTCCTGTTGACATGGCTGACAGCCATCTTGTCTGGCCCTCAGTAATTATGCCTCCATGCTGGCTTCCTCTGAGATGTGTGTATTCATCCATTTTCTCTTACTATAATAGAATACCCAAGGCAGTTTCACTTTATAGAAAAAAACAGGTTTTTTTAGCTCCTAGTTCCAAGTTCCAAGATCAGGTAGGTTCCATTGGCTTGGCCTCTGGAAAGAACCTAATGGCAGGTGGTGTCACAGCAGGAGTATATGTGGGAGGAAGATCACATCTCAAAACAGGAAGCCAAAGAGTTTACTCTTTTTTATGTAATTTTTAAATTCATATATGACAGCAGAATGCATCACAATTCTTATTACATATATAGAGCACAATTTTTCATATCTCTGGTTGTGTACATAGTGTATTCACACCAATTCATGTCTTCATACATGTACTTTGGATAGTAATGATCATCACATTCCACCATCATTAATAACCGCTTGCCCCCTCCCTTCCTCTCCAACCCCTCTGTCCTATCTAGAGTTCGTCTAGGAAGGTTCATTGCATGGAGTTCATTCCTTAAAAGAAGAAAAAGTCAACAAGTAAATGACTTAACACTAAGAGCTCACTCTTCAACCAACTCACTCTCTTGAAAGCTCAGAGTCCCATGAGAGCTACCCTAATCCCTTCTAAAAGCTCCACTAAGCTCCACCTCTTAAAACTTCCACAACAACACTCAGAACTGCCACGTTAGGAACCAAGCTCCCAGCACTTGAACCCCTTGGGACACCTGAACCCCTTAGGGACACACAAATCCCCATATAGTCCCCAATCACAGAGTTGATTCCCAGTCATTAAAAATAAAAATAGTTTCTCAACTGGTAGGCCTTTCCCAGGCCTGCTAGTTCTCTCAGCTATACCCACATCCATCCTGGGGCTGGGGAACCACAGAGAGCTCTCACTGCCCATGATGATGTGAAGAATTCTTGTGTGCTAAGCCTCCAGGGCACCAGATGAGAAGCAGGCTATGTATCTCCAAACCTATGTACATTTTTGTGGCAGGCAGAATAATGATCGCCCAAAGATGACTGCATTCCAGATAGGCAGGGTGGCACAAGCTTGTGATATCAGTCAGCTACCCAGGAAGCTGAGACAGGAGCCAGTCCGGGCAACTTAGAGAGACTCTGTTTCCAAGTGAAGAAAAAAAAAAATTCGAAGGGCTGGGTTTGTAGCTCAGTGGTAAGTTCCCTGGGTTCAATCCCCAGTACTGGGGGCGGGGGGGGGGGAGATACCCATATTCTAAATTCCAGAACCTAGAATTATCCTAAAGAATGGATAAATTCAAGTTGCTAATTGAATTAAGATTGCTAGCAGCTTTGAGATAGGAACATTCGCCTGAATTTTCCAGGTGGACCCCATGTAATCATAGGAATTCTTAAGTGTGGAAGAGGCTTGCAGAAGAATGAGTGTCGGGGTGATAGGATGTGGAAATGATTCCATCGACCACTGTTGATTTTGTATGTGAAAGGGAACAGAAACCAAGATATGCAGATGACTTCTAGAAACTGGAAAAAGCAAAAACACTGATTCTCCCCTAAGACTGAAAGCCATCTTGTCTGACCCTCAATAATTGTGCCTGTTACATTCTACTATCTTTCCTATCCCCACATCCCCTCCACTCCCCTCCCTTCACTTCCCTCTACCTAATCTTAGGTAATACTATTCTTCTCTAGTGCCCCACGCCTTGTTGTGAATTAGTATCCGCATATTAGAGAAAACATTTGGCCTTTGGTTTTTTGGGATTGACTTATTTTGCTTAGCATGATATTCTCCAACTCCATCCCCATTTACTGGCAAATACCATAATTTCATTCTTCTTTAAAGCTGAGTAATACTCCATTGAATATATATACCACATTTTCTTTATCCATTCATCTATTGAAGGACACCTAGGTTGGTTCTATAGTTTAGCTATTGTGAATTGAGCTGCTATAAACATTGAGGTGGCTGCATCACTGTAGTGTGCAATTTTAAGTCCTTTGGGTA